TTGTAAAGCCAAGTCGATCGTACCAAAATGAAGGAACTAGCACGACTTGAAAAATCACTGATGAACAACCAAGATGAGGAGCTATGTACTCGGACCCCAGTAAGTATGTGGTGAATCTGTCAAATGTGAAACTTGATGCACTACAGTTAGAAGCATTGTCTTTCTGGCTAGGTTACAGAGTGCCTCCTAGGCGATTGATAGGATTGTTCATTGAGGCTCAGTTGGAGAACTCTTTTGATCAGTTGAAAGACCTTCAACCAACTAGTACCGATAAGCTTATATGGTTTAGAAACAAACTGACCGATGTTGCTTATGAAGTATAAAGTGCGCGCTTACGAACAGACACCTACGAGCATTACGCGAATTACGCGATAAGGATGTCGTTGTAATGAAGCCGGATAAGGTTCCAAGTGGCATTTGGTGTACTCGCTGTGTGGTTGGATTGCGACTCGCAATCTCTCTTCAGACCTCGGTCCTAAGTGGACCTCGGTCATTACGATCACAAGGACCGTAACCGAATTGGTGGTTCGGTGTTGCTCCTCCCAACCCTGAGACCCCATGACCGGTTTCGTCCTCCTTTGGACGTTGCTCGCGGATCTAGGAGCCATAGTGGTCAGGGCGTCAACCTTTGAACACTATACCTCGAGGTCCACCCCAGCTCAGGGTATCTCCATCTGATGAGTCTAAAGCAGGACGAAACCGGTCATGGGGTCTCAGGGTTGGGAGGAACAACACCGAACCACCAATTCGGTTACGGTCCGTGTGATCGTAATGACCGAGGTCCACTTAGGACCGAGGTCTGAATAGAGATTGCGAGTCGCAATCCAACCACACAGCGAGTACACCAAATGCCACTTGGAACACTTTACCGCTGTGCCAAACGTTGCTCGCGGATCTAGGAGCCATAGTGGTCAGGGCGTCAACCTTTGAACGCTATACCTCGAGGTTCACCCCAGCTCAGTGTATCTCCATCTGATGAGTCCAAAGGAGGACGAAACCGGTCATGGGGTCTCAGAGTTGGGAGGAGCAACACCGAACCACCAAGCCGGATAAGGGTTCAGGCGTTGTAGTCATGAACAAAGTTGAATACTTCGAGAAGATGAGTATCATACTCAGTGACACTAACAAATTTAAACGACTGGAGAAGGCAGAGGATGTGACTGCGTTCGAATCCCGAATCATTCGCCACTTAGAAATGCTTCATCAGTATCACGTAATTGACAGCGCTACTTATAACAGTTTAAAGCCGAGTGGATCAACTACGCCACGGCTATATGGGCTTCCAAAAACGCACAAGAGCGGAGTGCCGCTCAGACCGATGCTCTCGATGACAAACGCACCCCAACATAAATAAGGTCGCTGATTGGTTAATGTGCTTTCTCCGCTAAAAGCTCAGTTTAAGGTGTATGGCCTCAAAATTCCTTCGAGTTTGTCGAAGACCTCGATAAAATGAACTTGTCCGATAAGGTGATGTGTTCCTTAGTTGTGGAATCCTTGTTTACTAATGTGCCGCTACACCAGACCGTTGACTACATCTGCGAATTAGCAGAAAGTTCCGAATGTCGGTTGCCGATTCCAGTTGAATTCTTAATAGAATCATTATTTCTATGCACAGAGAATGTTGATTTCCACTTCCGAAACATACCATATCGCCAAATTGATGGGGTAGCCATGGGCAGCCCATTTGGCCCCATACTAGCGGATTTCTTTATGCTAATAATAGAACGAAGCCTATCCGAAGAAATAGCGCAGGTACCCTATTACAAACGTTACCTTGACGAAATCCTGGTATTCAGTTCGCTAGAAATTCAAATCGCACAGCTAGTGGCACGTTTTACCTTTGCGCATGCCAATTTGAGGGTTTCCTGTGAAGTAGAACAACAGAACTGTCTTCCATATTTGGATGTTCTTATCAGCCGCAGGGAGGACGGACTGGTAAAACGGTCTGTCTATCGAAAAACAACGTGGTCGGGACAGTATCTGCATTTTAGCAGCTTTACGCCAATGCGGCACAAGCGAACGCTTGCGAGGACCCTGTTTAGTCACGCCAGACGAATATGTTCGAGCGATTATCTAGCCGATGAACTAGAATTACTTACCAACACGTTAATTGCCAATGGCTACCGTCGAAAGTTCCTCCGGAAGCACGGCCAAATTCGTGAAATGAAAGTTGCTATACCTACTGTGCCCAAAAAATGGTATTCTTGGAGCTGCCTTTTAAGGGTGACATTGCTTCTTTGAGGACTACAAGACGTCTGCCTTCCACCACAAAGAGCACTTTCTGTGCTGCCGAAGTTGTAACCATCGACCGAACTCATAACCTACCGTTGCCTCTACTAAAAGAAACTCAGCCTATTGGCGCCAACTCCCACTGCGTATATCAATTCGTATGTAACTGCGGCGATAGTTACATAGGCAGAACCAATAGAACGCTGAGTTCCCGAATTAAGGAGCATGTACCAAAATAGGTTCAGTGCGGACTTATTCAGCAAGCAAGCCCAACTCAGACTACATGTGTACGCAGGCAGCCAGCATCGTCGATCGGCAGGCACTTAGTGACATCGGGTCACCGAATTGAGGTCAACAAGGCGTTTCGAGTCCTGTTTCGTCATACTAATTCCCGGCTCCTCCGGTTTGCCGAGGCTATTCCCATTCCTCGGATTAAGCCAGAGCTTTGTGTTCAAAAACAATTATCGGTCAGCCTCAGGTTGCCCTGGTTGTAGAACAAAGACCCCTTCTTTTTCTCTCCTTTGTTTGTGTGTATGTCTGCACCCACAAACTGTTGTACAAAATTACCGGTTATCGTTATCGGCACTGATGAGACGATACGAAATGCATGCATCTGCCGTGCTTCGTCTTCGAATTGTGCTTTTTAAATTATTTGTCTGCCTAAGGTTGCCTTGGACGTAGGTGTGAACTTCCGTCATTCGTTTTGCACCTTAAGCTTGTCTGGTTGCACCCACTGTTAGCTATATCTATGCATATCGGTTATTGTTAATGGTACTGATGGGACAATAGGAAATGCATGCGTCCACCAGCCTTCATCTTCTTTCCGTGCTTTTCATATTGTTGAAGGGAACTAACTGCTTTAAATATCTGGTATATGCTATAGCCCGGCGTGAATTCTGGGGTAACGTAGGTCGTTAAGGTCCCGTGACTTACCTATTCAAGTCTCCTCTAATATGGCCGCATGGCGTGGTGATAAGGATCTATCACGCAGGCACGTGCCTCGAGGCACGGGATACGGGATTTCACCGTTTAGTTGAATGAGGTGGATACGATTAGCAAGTCATACTGCGCATTCCACACGTTTGATTAACCTCCGTTCTCAAAAAGCATATTGGGCCTCCGAAGACCTTTAAACATTCATCTGTTAGTTTGCGAGTTTCAATATTTCTCATTCCCAACACTGACACTCCACGATCGGTTTGGTCCTCGTTTGAACATAGTAAGTAGAGCTAGCCGGACGTGGAAGTGGAACTCGGGACCTAATAGTTGACGGTCGACGCCTTCACCACCAGGCCACTGAGATCCGTGAGCAACGCTAGGTGTAGCGGTTAAGAGTTCAAAATTCTAGGTTTAGTGTACGCGCCGTGTAGTTAGATGGCCAGACGCATTCTTGATCATTCGTGATCGGAATGACCGATGCCTACTTCAAAGTAAACCGCGAGTCCCCAGCAGAGATTGCATGTCGCAATCCAACCACACAGCAGCCATTCCAAGGTCCAAATTTAAATTAACCATCAACTTTTGTGGCTTGAATGAGCCTGAACTAAGTCTTATGTTTACGATTCCACGTTCCATGACCGCATTCGTTCGGTCTGTAGTCCAAATTGATCCCGAATTTGACTGTCGGTCGCCACCTCTCGAGAGATGCGACACACGCTTCCAACTATTGCGTACACTAGAAGCATGATTTTGCACTACAGTACGAGTAAATACAATCGCCGGACATTGGTTCCTGTCACTTGGGGCTAGTTATCTCGTTTAGCGATCTTATCACCTACTCTCTTGCTCTTTACTGACCGCGGATGTGAGCCTAGAGTAGTTTTGTGCGTCGAAAATTAGATACTGTTGGATTTTTCTCCTGCTGAGGCGTGCACAACTTTTGTTCGAGTGGGTGCATTTTCAACACTTCACCATTGCCACTGCGGATGTCACAAATCAATGTCATCTAAAATGCAATATTGTACAACTGGGAAAATGGCCTTTGGAGCACAAGTGTTCATCGAATAAACCGTCCCGAATCTGCATCCCCTTGGAGGTACCGTGTCGAGGCCCAATTTATTGATCCGCACAAAGATTCCTCAAGGTACGAAATTCCCTCGTATATCTAGATCCATTTTGTAAAATTGACGGTGGATCACATTAGTGACTTTGTAGCCAGTCTAACCGAAGAAAATGTCAAACGTACTTGGTGAAAACTGATAAAACTGCAGCAGATAAGTATGAGCGATTTTCCGGTAAAAAGGCAACGGCTGATTTGAAAGTCCCGCTTCTTTTTACATTACTCGGTGTCTTCTCAACGTCACGTTCGATTATGTCGAATTTCCGCCACATTTTGACGCTGTCGCTTACGATTCCTCTTTATTGACGTGCAAACGTCAGATCTGTCATTTTCGTCTGGGACCACAAATATTGCCGGTCTTCACGATAGTCGCGCAGTTCCGGTTGACTGGTCTGTCTGGTCACGCTGCCATCATTCACTCACAATGTTACCACAAGGCTGTGTTCATTCCCGTGTCCCAGCAACCTTTGTGCAATTCGCCGTCAGTCTTTCTACTGTCTTTACGTGTCCCCAAATGTACTTAATCTGGGTTCAAACTTTTGAGTTTGCTCTTGCTACACTCGGCAAGTGAGATTGTCACCTCGCTGATTGTGTGGCTCCACTCGTCACAACTGGGGGTTGACTTAGTAGAAGTGCTGCTCAGCGGTTGACTCTCTGTTTTCATACTGATTAATTTCATGACTGCATATTCCCTACTCTGATTTGCTTGTAGACGGCGGCTATCCCCATCTCATCGAGACTCTGCTCACTGAAAGCCCCAGTTTATCTGCCCTCAACGATCGGATCTGTGCTTTACGAGCGCTGGCTCCGATAGCACACGAGACATGCGAGGCCATCGAACAGTTAGTTTCCGAACAGCGCCAAATGATTCAGGTAAGCTGAGTGCGCTCTCCTTCTGGTTCTGGTATGATTCTATAGATGTCAATATCTGTTATCAAAGTTACTGATCCCCTTACTCTCGATGGGCAGGCAACTCGTGGTGTTGTTTCCCCCCACACACACACACACACTTCTGGTGCATCAATTAACGCCACTGCCCCAAATCGGATGCACCATCACAGATGCTGCTGGGGCATCAGTTTCGTGAATGTACGTAGTTTCGCTGCATTGACTTCCTTTGTCACAGGCTGCCCCACTCATTCCACGGACTAGATTCCGGACATACGCTCTCCTTTCTTTCACTCGGATAATCATACAACTGGACACGTGACGATGTTGTATGCACACGTCTGGTTAAGAAGGGGCTTGTGTAAAATGTACCGATCTCTATGCACCACGCTCGAGTTCATTAATAATAGGTTAGGGGAATTTAGTGCTGCCGAAGCAATCACATCTACCGACACTGCAATACGAAGCCTTCTACCAACGTGAAATGCACACAATACAGTCATTGTTGCCGTATGTCTAAAGGGACATGGGCAATACGCTCCCAGGACGTTGGGAAATTGGTGTTCTTTACTCCTCAGTGTTTGCAGCGTAATGCTTACATCTAATGAAAACACCAGGTGTACAATAACGAGGTCGGCCAGTTGGTGTTCCACGAGAATCCCTTTGGTATCTCACTGACCTGGCCTATCTGTTTGGATTGAACCACTGGCATTGGCTAGGTTGTGCCCTCTGTATGTTCGTGGGCCGGCTTCCTGGGCGTGTATTATACGTCTTGGCTGCGCCAAGTTGAGCGAAACCGCGAGATGACCAGTCGACGATATGGCAGAAAGGTATGACGAAATTAACCGAGCGACTTGGTCAGACTGCTGCGTGCCGTCTTCGTGGATGGGGGCTTCGAAATGGTCCACACCAATAATAGCCACCAAGTCAGTCCTGTTCCTGTATCCGACTGTCTTATATTTAGTATTTGTCATTTAGTTAATAATTCAACGATATAACAATAATATCTAAGATTTACCTTTGCCCTTCTTTCTTTATTCCTTTCCTTTTTGTCTTCTGTTTGCATCCTACCTCGTTTTCTCATCATCGTTATTTACTGTTACTGTGCGGATACGTGTCGCGGTAATTGGGCCCCTGCACTTCAGTCTCCGGGTCATGTTTGTTTAACTGAACTGAACTGTTCGCTTATCACCACTGCTATTCAGTGCTCTGAGCTGTGCACCGGATGTCCACCTCTGGTGTTTGACCCCAATCCTTACGTTGCTGAACTGTGTTCACGCACACATATGGGTGCTCCTCTTAGGCTGCGCTGTCCTAGTGATGGAACTGAAGCAACTGTTGGTGGACCCGACACTACCTTCCTCGTCGGGTCCTCAAGAACAGCCGATTAAACAGTGTCGTACCTCATCCGGCACAGCGTGGTCAAAGTGTTCCTGTGTCTGTTGCATTTATCTCTGTGTCTCTGGTATCCCTCTTTTCTACTCCTAACGAATCTACCCTTTTCCCACCCGTACCCTTCGTTCTATTATTTTATCCTCTTCATTCCCCTTCCTTATGTGTCATCTGTCGACAGGCCCTCCAACTCTTCATTAAAGTGTTCATCGAACTCGAATTAATTCCACTGGTTCGGTTACCTGCCCTGTATGCCTACGAATCGACTGCCTAGATGTGGGCCGTTTACCAGTACTATGCCTAATGGGGTGAAGCGCAAGCGTAGCCTCTCACTGATGGGATAAAAGGGCTTCACCATACTCACCGAATGCTTCCACCTGACTGGTGCTTGTCCTCTTTCCGAATGAGGTCCCCGACATCGACCCCATCGGTGTTTGTTGCTTGCTCTATCGTCCCTTTATTTCTCACTGTTAATAGCGCTGTCTGACGACTTGCGATGGAAATTCGTAACACCTGTACCCATATGTGGGAAATCGCTGGACTGCCTTTTCATTCTTCGGGAAATCATCCTCAGTTCGCGTTCCCTCTGTCTCCTGTGGGGGCTAGTACCCACGACCCCAAGCATACTAGGCCACTAGTGATGAACTGCAATCACCATGTCTCAGTAACCGGCTGCACGTACACTCATAATCCGCTGTCATGCGCGTTCCCAATGTGCGGTGGATAGGGTTGGCTTTTTAAACCGTAACATCCCCTGCAGTGCCGCCGTCGTCCGATAGCATTATAAGTTGACCTGGGCAGTTGCTGCAGTTGTATGAAGAGTAGTGACAGGAATGATTAGCCATTCGGTGGAGATTCGTCACAGCCCTTCAACATTTAACTCAGGGTTGACCAGGTGGACGAAACCACCCAGTGTGGTTTAATTTATGCTATCTCCCTCTCTTGCGCTTAGCTGTGCTATGCTGCTTTCCTCATGCAACTGATTTTCCACATCTCTTTTTGTTGAAACCGTTGCTCTTCCTGATACCACATTGCTTCGCTGGGTTGTACAGTTTCTGCCAATTTTAAGACCACTCATTGAGATTTTATGCTGAATGAAATCACTTTTACGGCTAGGATTTATTTACTAAAGGTACGATGTTTAGACCTCAGTTGGAGCAATTCAGAGATGTTCTGGCTTTCTCAGTATTTGGTAGACGGCAGGACCTGTTGTCTGTTACGGTGGATGCATGAGTACTTGTTTCCATTAAAATGGTTGGTTGGTTGCTGGTTGTTTCTTTGTACTTTTATTCTTCCCAAGTTTCAACAAATTCTCCATCAGATCAAAGTCAGAACAGAACAGGATCCTGGGACGAAATAAGCTTTCGCTTAACCAGCGTCCCGTTTCGTGTCCCTGTAAGCGAAAAGGGCTCTCAGCACTTCGACATTCAGGTAGATTCTTGCGTTTATTTCTGGAAAAAGAAGTGCGAGCAAAATAACCGCAACATTTTCATGTATTTGCACAGGCTACTTGCATGTGGTGCTAGAGGCTGCTATAAGTGCTCACAAGAATTCGGGGAGGACGGCCAACCACATTTCGTCCAGGCTTCGCTTAAAGTCTTTTGTCGTCTTACATACCACTAATGCAGAAGTTTATTCCACTTAGTCACTACTTGATTTTGGAAGAATTTAGCTCTTGTATCGAGCCCAGATCTCTGCTGTTTCAACTTTAGACTATGGCCTCTCAAGTGGTCTGACGTAGCTGATTCAAAAAGATGCGTTGGCCTGAGACCGCTGATCTTGAATGTCTCTACTACTCTCAGTATGCGTCTCCTCATTCAGTACAATCTTGTTAGCTAACCGAAACTCATACGGTAACCCCCGTTGGTCTTCTATCAGTCGAGTGGCCAATCTTTGCACATTCTCAGTACAATTTACGTCCTTCTGCAGGAAGGACGCGCAAACCTGACCAGTGCTTTATACAAGGGGAGAAAAACCTCTGGTCTGTTACAACGCAGAACTCTCCTGAGTCTAAATAACTCCTGTCGTGCTTTGTTAGCAGCATGGTTACATTGCGCCAAAAGCTTGAAGTTATTCATCACGATGATGCCATGATCACGTGCTTCGATAACACACTACATTGTCAGAGACCCACCAGGTGCTTGCAGTCCTACATTTCCGCCACTCTGAGTCAAGATTTGACATTTGCTCTCATTTAAGGGCACATCCCATGAGTGTGACCAGCTAAAAACAGTAGCCAAATCTTTAGATAGAATAACCCTGTCCTCCTTGTTAACAAACTTGAAATCATCAGCGAAAGTATAGGAGGGTCTTTCAAGTAAAGGGGTCAATTCATTTATAAACATAAGAAACAGTAGTGGACTAAATACTGAACCCTGGGTGACTTCACTATGTGCGGTACCTATACTCAAACCCTAACACGAGACGTCCTACCGCAGAGGAATGCGAACAGCCAAGAAAGTAGTTGTGGGTGTAGTCCAAACCAGGTCATCATTTCTAGCAGAAAGCTGTAGTTTACCTAGTTAAGAACCTTACTGAAGTCAAGATAATATATTTTTTTACCGGAATCCCGTTATCAAGACACCGGGTTATTTCGTCAAATAAAAGCAGCCTGTTGGTGAGGCATGACTTTTTCCTCATATAGCCATGTTGTTCCGCCCTGCTCAATTTAAGGGCAGCGAGATGCTCACAGACTCGGTCTCTGATGAGCTTTCCTGGACACTACAAACCTAAAGTTAAAGCAGTTAGTAGTTCCCTTCAGAAATTTTAAAAGCACGTCAAGAAGACGAAAGCTGGTAGGCGCAAGCATATCGTATTGTCTCCAATACCGCGCTCTCCTTTACCGCGCTTTTCAAACCTACACTGATCAAATTAACAGGCCTGTAACTATTCGACAATGATTTAGCACCCCGTTTATGAATGACCACTATAACTGTCCCCTTCCAATTCTGTGGTATCCTTCCCTCACGAAGGACTGGAAGCTGGGGAATCTCACAAATTGATTTTGCAATAGCCGTTCACTTTCTTTTTGTTCCAAGTGGCTGCTACTCACTTTGATCGGTGACACAGTCAACCATCAGGATGTGTGAATATAGCTAGAAATTGTGAATGGCTGTATAGATGATACCTTCTTGCTTTGATGGTGGTTCCTGGGGCAATAGTGTAGACGTCGGTAGCCCTATTGACTGACGTACCAACCCTCGTCGTTCAACTTGCAAAGTGTTTCTTTTTTGATCCTGTCTCCTCTTCGGCATATTACCTTCCAATACATTGTCACATTGCCAAACATCGCTCCAATCTTCAGTGGTGCAATGCTTATGTCTTCTACTATAATCCTTGTGCTTAACTCCTCTGTTTGATGTCAACTTTGATTTGCCAGAGGTTCATCTGTTTTTGCTTCAACTACGAAACTTAAACTACGTGATTATGCCGGTTTGTGTAATACATGTGGCTTGTGTTTCTTTATCCCACTGATTTTCGAATGAACAGCGATCCTGTTCAATATCTTAAAAAGTGCTAGGCACCGATCTGGAAGTCATCATTTTTGAATGGCTCGTGAACAACCAATGACTAGGTTAGCCGAATGTTCACAAGCCCTTCTGTATGAATCAGTTCTGTCCATAACAGAAGATCGTCCCCTGCACTAGTCCTCCTTTGGTGACCGCCCCTCCTATGGCCTCGAAGCTTAATTGTATTTTGAGTTGCTGTTTTACTGATTTCGCATTTACGTCAATTTCCCTTTCTGTCTAGCCTTTGTTTCACCCGGTCACTATCTGGGCACACCGTACCCGACTGAGTGACGCCCTTTGCCCATTTGAAGACCCTACTTTTCCCCACAAGATGCATTCTCTAGGAACCAGACGAAAGATCAATTGGCCTAGTTTTAATTGCTCTGTGAAAACCGCTGACGCAATCTGATATCATAATTACTGTGATCAAAATCCACTGATGCAATCACATTGTACAGATATTTTGTCCCTGATGGGATGAAGCTGCTAGTAATCCCTGTGTACCGTTCGCTTGTGCTCCGTGGAACCTGGTCAAATCGAACCTATTGTGATGTGGGTCAACGTGGGCTTTCGCTCAGTTTGTTTGCGTTCACTGTCTACGAGTTTGTAACACCAATTGGTCCGCTTCGTTTCGTTAGCCACAACAATGACGTCCAAATTCCCGTGTTTTTTCCACATTTATCTGCGTTATGTGTAACTGTGACAGCTTCTGTGCTCTTCGTGGGCACACTTATTCCTGACAGGAACCGTTTCATCGCCACCGTCAAACTCTCTGCTTTCTCTTCACTAGGGATGGTGCGTCGCTTTGGCCAATCTCGCCGAAGTGGTCACCGACACCAACAAGCGCCTTACAACTGCGGTGAACCGAGTGACCCAGTTCGAGAACTGCGCTCCTGAATGGGAACAGAAGCTACATTCGTAAGTTCTCTATGTACTACGACACGAAGGCCACCCCCTTCCCGGTGGTTTTCCGGTGTTTTCTTTCCTCTGCTCTACCACTGCTCTGGGCAGCTCTACCACTTCTCGCCACTATTTCTTAAACAAACATGAGGGAATAATGCATTACAACAGGAAACTTTTTGCTTGTTTTTCGTATTCCCATCATGTTTGTTTACAGTCCGTTGAACTATTGTGTTGCAGGCAAGAACAAACCTTAGACAAGAGCATGCCGTTTGATGCAAATGGACCGGTAACCCCGCCAAAGCAGCATAAGCCTGATCACAAACTCCGTCTGTTCACACAACTGGGTGTTAGCCACCCAATTGTAGGGTTGTTTAAGTCAACCTTTCACTGTGTGCGGTTCGAACTGACGTTGCTTTCTCATGCATCCATTCGCCGATAGGGCTGGCCGCTTCTACTCATCACGGAACTGCCACTGCAGGTTACCGATCGGTTCATTTAGGGTGTTACATCGGATCGCAGAGGTGGTTACTTTGCCTATTGGCAAACCCCTTGGTTGCCTATTGTAGGGTACTCCAGAACTCGACAGTCAACTTCTAGCCGTTGTGTCAAGTTCTGCTCTCGGAACCGAATAGTCTAGTGATCATGGCGATAACCGCCAACCATTGTGTGCTGAGTTCCACTCTCAATTCTAGCTATCTCTATCTGATGAGTCCGAACCAAGACCAAAGGTGTTGTGAAGTCCAGGAATAGAAGAGAGCAGCATGGAAAAGCCCTTGGTTTTCCAAAGTCTTCATCTGCTACCGACGCTTCGGGATATTAGTCTGTGAGCTATGTGTAGTGCGCATAACGTTTTGATAAAAGCAATGACACTGTTTAGATCAGAGAGTGGCCAGTTCGCACTAAAAACTAACAAATCGGTCCGTGTATGATGGCGTTTGCTTGCCGAGTACTGCCCGCATCTGGTGGGAACACCAGGTGGGCAATACTGAGCTCCCCCAGTTGGTGATTCACTTGAGTGTTAGCTAAATCTTATTCGCTTAGATCCTTATTCCCATAGAGCGGCTTCCTCGGCGAGCATCATACACTGTCGTTGTGCGAAACCGCGAGGTGGCCAGTCGATGATGTGGCATAAAGGAATGAAGAAATTGATTGAGAGACTTGGTCAGACTGGTTCCTGTCGTCTCCATGGATGGGGGCCCCTGGATGCTCCACACCAGTGGTTGGAGATCATATCAGACATCGCGCAGTCAGTGACCTCCCTGCATTCGCTTTCTTACATCTGGGTGTTACTATTTCACGCCGATTAAATTTATTACTTTCCTTTGTATTCCATTTGTGCTCCACATCACTCCATCATTTACTGACGCGAGTGGAAGCAAATGGATCTACTGAACTTCGGTGTTCGGGTCAGAATTGTTCAAATGAGCTAAACTGTGCATACATGTGCTTACCCACAGTCACAGGGCAGTCACGTGCACCTATCGTTTGTATTGCATCATTCAAACGCCGCACATCCACTGTTAGTCATACCTGCCGGCTTCACGCATACGCAAATCATTTGCGAACACGTACTCCTCAGTGGCAGTTCCATCCGTCGGAGTGGTGAAACGCATTTAACTATGCACTATACCATATGTCCCAAAAGTTTGGTCCCTCTGCTCTGTTACTGCGGGGAAAACGGTCACTCCTTCGAGTGTGAGCTAGAGCGCACCAAATTGCCAACTGTCCAATAGTAGATGTTTATGTACCTCAAAATGTCTCACCCGGTCAAATATATGTAGAACGACTGCATTCATGCATGTGGGTCCATGTGTACTTGCCAGTGTCGTCCATCGTAAAAACGTTGGATCAGGCGCGAATGGTTGAGTTGGAGTCAACCTACGACATGCCACAGGGCAAGTTAACCGATCGATACATACGGTGTGTCGGGCTGGTTGGAACGGAGACTGGCGTACAAACTCGAAACAGCAGTACCTCGTTACCGGGCTACTGCAGTAGAATTGTGGTGGCGCTTGGATAGGCGTAAATGGTCTGCGCAAGGAGTGTGCAATAGGTGCTTAGTGTTATCTCAGCTAATGACATGAGGGTTATTGGCAGCGCAGTTGTAGACTGAAAGTTACCTTCCAACAACCTACCTTAGCAAAATAGACATTTCTTACTATTAGGCTTTGCAACTATGAAATGTGGTGTTTTGTGAAAAGATTCTTGAAAAGCTATACCGCCTAAAGTCTACTCGCTGTCGCATAGCCTATTCTCCCGTCGCAGTCTTGATCACCGTTGCAGTAAACAAGTGTGGTTACGCTGCCCAATTTGTTTCAGGCGGGAACATGAGCGTTCATTCCAACATACTCACTGATGAGGCAATGTTCCATTAGCACAAAATTGGGAAGCTGCATTCCTAGGCAATATCCAATCCTTGCGGATACTGCGAATCACATAGTGCACAAAGTGCGAAGGTCATTGGCTCGAACAAATGACTGCTAAATCGTGGGACCACATCACACGCATGTGGGTTCTCACGCATACTGTACACCACAAATCCGTTATCCCTGTGATAACTTTTCTGACGCATTATGCTGCAAACTCCGAATATCAAATTCGAAAGGGTCGATAAATCACGCTTTCACGGTCTGTATTCTTATTGGAAAGTTGCTTGACCGCTATTCTTTCCCCTTTGTGTGATCGGTATGTTAATGTTTGGAGGCACTCATCCTACACCAGAGTCTGTACGCCGATGAACAGGATACAAGCACGAAACCACGTAGTTTATTCTCACATCAACGTCTCGTTCACATCCTCCCCGTATTCTTTAGGCATAATCATGAAAAACGAGTATTACCATTGTGAACCAAATTGCACTTAAGTAGTCAGTCTAAGGGCTGTCGATTCAGGTTTGCTCGTGGATTGCATTCTGGACCGACGCACCTTTGGCACCATTTGCCCGTGCATCAATGTAGTCCAGAAATCAATGATAACAGTGAATACGTATATTAACATAAACAGCATAAAACAGTAATATGTCCGTCAACGAGGAAGATGCTCAACGTGTTCGCCGGCGTTCTGCTTGCACTGCGGAAATCGCCTGAGGCAATCGGCTATAACATTTCGCAACGTTTCCGTGTTGACGGCGTGACATTCGTAGACAGTACTGCCTTTCAGTTGTTCCAGTAAAATAGGCGTTTTATTGTAAGCTCTTCTTTCCAAATAATTCCATAGGAAGAAATGTAATGGGTTCAAATTTGGTGACCGGGTAGGCCAATCCTTTTGACTTTTGTGACCGATCCACCGGTGACCGAACATCTTAAGATAATGCCACACCATTTGTACATAATGGACAGGTGCACCATATTAAACCTATAATGGCTGAAGCGAGGTACCGAAGTAGCCAACCCTAATCGGTGGTGAAAACATCTCTCTCTTGTAGCTCCCACCTTATTTGCCAGCGACAGTACTCTTCCCGTTGGCGAACCATGATAGACAGAAGAATGGCAGTAGTCATAATTGAGTTAGTTGGCAAACACGAGGTTAAAGTCATATGGGCAACGGAAGTACGTGACCCTGGCTTGCAAGAAGCGCCTAACGTAGCCTACTGAGCTTCAACGGGTTCCTCTATCGCCGTCAACTTTACAGTAAACATCAACAGAGACGTCTGCACCCTGTCGGGCAATCACATTGCAATCACACTTTTAGCTATGGCATGTGCTTCGCTCCATTTCATTAATCCATCAACTCGACAGACATAAAGAGGCTAACTACGTTGGATCATCGCTGCCATCACAGCTTTGCTCATGTCTTTTGGGAGCACCGTATGAGCAATTAGCGTGTGCGGCGCCGTGTATTTAGTGCCAGAAAAGCGAGTGAACCGTTCTGCACCGTTAAATCAAGTAATAGGCTTCAATGGCTTGGCCACGTGTTACGCATGCCAGCCCACCGACCCCACGACGTACACTGCTTGCTCACCGCGGGTGTGGATGGAAGAAGAGGAAGGATGACCAGTGGATGACTTGGTGAAGAGTAATGAAATCTCTCATCGAAATCGGTGTCCGTTGGTGTGTCTCGACTACCTGGCTGGGGTCCGAAGGACGATGAACACATTTGGTTGGATACACCAACTGACATAGCAAAGAGTCCACGTCAATGCCCTTGGTATTGTGAGTTTCTTTGTCCCTCCCTATCTCGCTTATTTTCCCTCTCCATTATATGCTACTAAATACTCTGCCGCCTTTTTTGCATTCTGTATTTTCCAGTGTCTTGCTTTTTCGTACGTCTTAACTTTCATGTATTGCGGCACTTCTCACCAGCTAATGTATGATGATGATGATACCAATAACAACAATAATAGTAATAATAATAATAATAATGAATGCACCAGAAACACTCGCTAACAAAGATACATCCACATATACGCTGTCTGTGCAATGGTATGCTAACACTGAAACAAATTACTGGACACAATCTCTCACAGTGCAATCCCAAACAGCCGACAAGTCGCGCTAGCCTACAAGACGGGCGAAATGTTCCATAGGGAGGGGAACCGTGCGTTCATCCAAGCAAACGAAAACCCAGTCACCTCTATGTTTGAACGAGCCCACTTGCCTGCAAGCTCTCCGGAGTGATGTTCACCCATTTCTGGAGCGTCAGCTGGCGTGCCTGTGTTGCTTCCTATGGACACTTATCTACCGGTGTGCCATAGCGCAGGCGATGAAGACCACTGGAAAATGCAGCGAAACAAAAAGGAGAGGACAACTGCCAGCAATCAGCATTGTCGTAACCTTATGATATTACACGCGCCTGAGTCGACGGATGCTAGTCCTCAGACTCGCTATGACTACGAAGTGACTTTCTGCAGATCCTCATTGATAGGATTCTCTGCGTGAATGAACAGGGGTTGCGGGTGAAGCAAATCAACCGCCTCGGAAAGAGAGAGGAGGGAAAGTCCCGGCCTCTGCGAGTCACGTTTGTTGATGAAGTGAATCCGAGGCTGCTACTATCCCGCCTCGGTGGGCTAAGAGGTC